AGGGTTCTCTCTTATCTTAAAGCCCCAGCCTTTCTTTCATGATGCATTGAACTTTATCCTGCCAGAGTCCCAGAGAATTCCCTGAGCTGGGTTTGCCTCTGCCCTGGCCTTCTTAACAGTGGGGAGCAGGCAGTACATGACCAGTTGCCTCATCCTTTTGCATAGCTTGTCTTTATAGCTCTCGCCTTAGGCCACTCTGCATGAATATATTTCCCCCATTCCTTTTGGCTTTAAAAGCCATTGCTGTTTCATAGATTTGCCTCCCAGAATCGCCATCCCAGCATTTCCAGACTCCCCTGCCAAGTTTCCAGAGCACCCTCCCTTATTGTTACTTTTTAGATAAGGGAAGAAACAATAGCATATCAACAGTTCACCTCAGTTCCTCTTGCCTTAGCCAGACAAATGATATTCTCAAATTAATTTGAAAAGATTTTTGTTTTTTATACTCATGCTATGATTTGTTCAAGCGAATCATAACATTTTACAGCTGGTAGGCAATTAAAAGTAAATCTAGTACAACTCCTCCAATTTTTTTGACTGTGGCAACAAAGTTCCACAGTGAAACGTTCTTTTGTCTGTGTCACATTACCTCACTTGCGAACAGAAGAAACTAAGTTTTGGCAAACAATTTCCAAAGGGTTATTTAAAACCTGGTAAACAACCATTTTTCAATAGATACCATACAACAGATTGATATTAACAGAAGCATAGTAGCTTTTTCTTATGTGAGTAAAATTTCTTTAATGATCAAATAATCTCTATTTTTAAAAGGTAGACTGTAACATTTGAATAAATTTTGCTCTACAGAAGAGTTGTGAAGGCATACAGAGAATTCTCTTCCACTGTCTTTCCCGTTATTTGCATCTCACTGGGGACATTAGTCTAAACTAAGAAGTTATGATTTGTACATTACTAGTGACTACATTCCAGACTTCATTTGTATTTCACCAGCTTTCCATTAAAGCCCTTTTCCTGTTCCTGATCCCATCCATGATCCTTTGTTACATTTAGTCATTGTATCTCCTTAGTTTGCTCTATTCTGTGACCTGGTCTTGGTCTTCCCTGGTTTTTCATGATCTTCATATTTTTGAAGAGCACTAGCTAGATATTTTATAGAGTGTACCTTGTGTATCTGTCTGATGCTTTTGTCATGGTTGGACTGGTGTTAAAGTTTTGAGAATACCCCAGATGTTATGTGCCCTTCTCTCTGCTTCATACCAGAGGGCACATAATACCAATAGAGTTCGTCACATATCTTATTTTTTGATGTACAATTTAACCTTCTTCCCTTTTATAAGGCAGTTATTTAAATTGATTTTATATTCTTTCACTTTTTCCCTATTCCTTTCCACACTTCTCCCCCTTTTCTAGAAAACTCTTCTTAGTATTATTTTTCTAAAATTCGTATATTGATAGATGTTCCATTTTTATTAGGAGAAGTCAACTTAAATCAACTTAAAGAGAGTTTTATGTCCTTCCTTACTGTCAGGGTGATAAAACATGACAGTAATGGAGAACCCAGGGACCACTTCCTGGAGGATGGAGGGAAGAGAAGATAGTCCCTTCTCTTGGTTGATTAGGTGTTTTTTTTTAGTATTGGGCTATTTGGCCTTGAAGGCTCTAGTTCTGAGATTCTCTGATCATTTTTCACTTGACTATTTCATAATGCACCAAGCCTACCATGGGGCCACTTCTGGCAATCAACACTCAGTCATTTCGAAGTAATAAGTCAGAATGCTTCAGGAATTGGAACTAGTATAGAGAATTTCTTTGCTGCAGAATGCAACACTAAAGCAGGTAGTAAAAATCAGGGACTTGGGGGAAAATGGATAAAATCTCTTCTTTAGCTCAGTTCCTTTTCTTCAAGTAATTCAGGGAAGTCCTTTTAAAGACTGGGCCTAACCTTTTGCCTCTGCTCATGGAAGTTACGCACTCATGTGCATAAATGAAAGTGTGTTCTTGCTAGGCAGTTGCTTTGACCTTTTACTTAGGTGGATGAATGTGTCAAGCTTGTCTAACACAGTGATTCCCCACTCTCAGCCCATGATGAATATTTGCTCCACCAGCTTAACAGTTGCTATATTGAATTTCTTCAGGTTTGGTGTTAGAATACTTTTAGTTGTTGTTGTCGAAGACTGAAACTATTTCAGATTTGAAATCAACTAAGGTTATTGAACATGTAAAACATGCTACACTGTACTTGAGGCTTCCTGTGCATTATTATTTAGTAATCACATGAAGTAGAAATTATTGCTATCCTAATTTGTGGAGAACGTAAGTATAAAGAAGTTATGCAACTGTCTTAACGTTACTGAGCTCTTTAGTGGTAGGACTGGGACTCTCACCAAGTTCTATGACTCTAGAGCTGTTTGTATTTAACCACTATGCCATAATATCTATGGAATTAGTCCCGCCTATGAATTCTACCTGTTAGTTCTATAAAGCCACATAGATTGAATCTAATCTTTTTTCCATGTGATAGCCCATTAAGTATTTGTTTCGAATGACCATATTCCTGTGGATCTTTTCTTCTAGTCTTTTTTTTTTTTTTAGTTCTTTTAACTGTTGCCAGCTACAAATTCTTTAGGGATTTTTCTGTCTTCATTATACTGCTTTGTTTGTTTTATGGTTAGGCTTCTGTTTGTCAATTGAAAGAACTGAAAATAGTGCATTTGGGTTTTGCCTAATGAGAACTCCTCTCATTTTTGGATGCCACACTTGTAGCCTGTATTAGTCAGAGTTGTCTAGAGGGACATACTAATAGGATCTATCTATCTATCTATCTATCTATCTATCTATCTATCTATCTATCTA